GCGCGGCAGAGAGGAAGTGGTGAGTCTGATATCCCCTTAATATATAAGGGCATGTTGTGGGAACAAACACTGACGTAACCCATACTCTTAAACGTAATTTCTAAACAACGAAGCATCTCCAGAGCCGGCAGACCGACTTTGCAAAACTCTTAAAGCACCTCTGCAGTGAACTACGAAAAAAGGCAGCGGGATAGGAAGAAGGGGAGGGGCAGGAGCCACAGGAGGAAGGGAATTTAAAGAGTTATCCTCCAGCGGGATAGGTCCGCAGCTAGGCCCGTCCTGCTGCAAACTATTAGCAAAATATCCCTGCCCGCCTGCCTGGTCACGAGCCGGAGCTGCCGTCCTGCCTTACCCGGGGCACTCATTCATAAGGACTGGGGAATAAGGGCGGGGATATGAAAAATGTAAGGCACTAACACCCTCGGGAGAGAAAGCAACCGCCTGGTATCCCGACCTGATCTTCCTCCGTGATATCGATAAAAGCCGGGACACTCATGGCCACGGTAGCTCCGCTCCTTGCCTCGACCACACTCTCCAAGCGGAAAAGGCCGCAACACTCTTAGACGTCATTTCCATATCCGGGACATAGTTGTCCTCCTCCAATCGGCGTTCCTCAGCGCGTCTACCCTCGGGCGAGCGGCCCGGTGCTTCCAGTCTCTGCAATAGTTTCGCTCGCGGGGGCGCGTGAGGGGCCCTGGTCACGAGGTGCTCCAGAGCCACTCAGGTGGTTCCTCCGGCCGTTCGGTAAAGGGAGCGGGGCGCGCGGCAGGGACTGAATGGCAGGGACTGAATAAACGGTTTTTTTTCTAATAAAAACGTTTTTGAACGCGGGCGTCTTTGTATGGAAGGTGGGAAACCAGCCCTACTTTAAAACCGTAAAACTCGGAGCGTTCTGGCTAAACGTGTTGTGTAGAGCGCGTGCGAGCACGAATTTTTATCCCTGTACGGACAGCAGATGCTACACTCACAGGTTCAAAAACAAAGTCCCCGTTCTCAAGTTCGTGAATTAATAAACTACTTTTCCATCAAATTTATCTTTAGCCAAAGCAAGCCTTACTTTCGCAGTACAGATGCTCTCCGTCGATGCAATTTTTGAGCTTTCTGCTTAAGTTTGCGGGTTGGGCGGCATTGGCAGAAAAACGCCCCCCCCCCGGTCCGTCTAGTCAGTCCGACTGATTGTAATGCAGGTATTTTTGCCTTCGTTTTTAAACTGCTGATTTGAAAATAAGTAATAGCTGAAACGAAATCAGAATTTGGGTGGTGGAGTTATAGGGTGATTCTCATTGTTTTAAAAAATGGAAGGTATAATCACGCTAAAGACTTGGGGAGGTGTGTTCATTTCCTTTGTCATAAAATAAGGCACTTTGTGCCTTCCGTTTCCAGCACTGGTTTAGAAAAAGCTTCACTAACTTTTGCTGATGCTTTCTCTGTATTCTTACGGGTGCTTACCTGGAAGCAAGACCCATCTTAAGTACAGTAAAGATAAAAGAGGAAGGGCTTGTACTTTACAAATGTGTGGAATAAATCTGGACCTTGTTTTGAACTGTGAGCTGCAGGCCTGGAACCTTTTCCAGGGATGTGCTGAATCATTCCTTTTCATGTAATGTAGAAGGATGAAGATAAAGGGAAAAAAGAAACTTTCTGGCTTCTTCTTTCCAGTCCTGGGGCCAATGAATGTAAAGACATGAATGAAGGTCATACTAGGGAAGGCATTGATACTACATTTAACTGTCTTGAGAAATGAAGGCATAAAGAGTGATAACTCTGTGTTTTCCTTATTGGTACTCTCATCATTTACAGCAGTGATAATCACTAAGACTGATTTACTAATGTTTAATAATATAAAGTAATAGGCGTTAGTGATTATAACTGCTGTAACAGGAAACTAAATATAAATAAAATATAGCTATTTCATTGTCTTTTTAAAAAGGGTATTTTCTTATATGTATGTCGACCGCACAACTGTTCTGATTAAGGTCTGGTGCCGGTTCTAATATTTGAACTTTTTAAAAAAGTTTCTCCCTCCCTTTGTTCTTAGGATTTTTTTTTTTTTTAAAGCAACACTGTGATGCAACTTGAGGAAATAGGGGAAATTTTGTCTTGGTTTTAAGCGTGGAGCTGGAGGACATAAAAAGTAATAGCAGTTGGGATGAAGGTCTGCTGTTTTCCCTTAATTTCCCCATTTTTTCCCCTTCTCTTTACTGTGTTTTTGGAGAAGATGGAGGAAATATTATTGTAATTTAAAATTTTAGGTAGCCTTAAATAATAGTCAATTATTATTCAATAATTGTAGTGCAATTACTGTAATTATAAAACATGAATGTACCATGTCATAACAGTTTTCTGTATTGGTTTTTATGTTTTTATTGTTCTTCGTGAGCCACTAAGGGTTATGCTGCATAAGAGGGGTGGCTCTAAAAATCTTTTAAATGAATAAATGGGGGCAGGGGGGAATCCTATGATGTAATAGTAACAGCAAAGAAGAAGATGAATGGATGTGGGAGATTAATCTCTCATCTCGTATCTTTCTGTGATGACTTTAAAGAAGCAAAAAAGTCCTCAGGATTATTCAGCACACCTGAGAATAATGTTGAGAAATAGCAACATATCTATGCTTCTGGCAAAGCAGTTTCTCATGGGGATGATGGGGAGATTGAACAGAAATGTAGAAATTATTAGAGGTGGTAATACCACAATAATGTGATAGCAATAAATTTACAAGCTGGCTAAATAGTTGTATCTGCCTATATATCTGGCTATAGTTTCTTAGAACATTCCCTGCCTGGTCTCTAAAATCACTGGCCTGCAAAGCTGCAGCCTATTAAAAAACAAAACTTGTACATAAAACTTCCTACAAGGCACCAAAAATGGAACTAGGAAACTTAAAGGCACAGGTCAAGCAACACTGATTCATTTCATCACCATTTCTATTCAGTCAAGTTCCTTGAACCATGTTGGAAAAGAGCTGCACCAGCTTGCTACATTACATTAATGTAAATTGCCAAACCTGGAATTTGGATTTTAGAAATAGAATGAGCCTATGCTATGAGACAGAGATGAATTGTTTCACAGAATTATATCACTAAAAAAATCCACTTCAATGACTTTGGTTCCAATTCTTGTCACAAAATAGCAGCTTCTATGGATTAATCTGTCTCCATGAATACATAATTTATATTTAAGTTACTACAGATTGTAACATCAAAACCTAAAAATAAACAAACACACAAAGCACTTGATATTCTTGCATATTTGCAGCTGGCAGCACTCTTAGAACATAATTACTATTATCAAGCACAAGCAATATATGCTCCAGTTAATTTCCTTTCAGGAGCTGTCCTTTGCTTTATTTATAGTATGTTTGTATCTTGCACTGATTTCAGTGGAGCCTGGTCGTGTCTGTCGTCATTCTAAGTTTTCATTATTTTTATGAACATGACATTCTTTCTTGTCCTTCATTCTGCTATATGCTTTGCTCACTTTGACAGATAGAGAGAAAAAAAACAAAAACAAGTAGCATACCTGGATCTCAAAGAAATGGCCCTTAAGAAATTGACCCTCTTTATTATCTTTCATTCAAACTGGGGACCCTACAATGACAAACTAGGATCTTTAGCAAATCCTGAAGGTGTGCAAACATTGTATACATGCTGGTAATGGCCAGCTTGGACTATAAATAGGATGTGTACCAGAGAAAGAAAGGCAAAGAGGAAAATGAGATCAAACACAGTTCTTCCACTATAGGCTCAGAAAAAGGTTGAGATGTTAAGAGGGCAAACAGCAGGTCAGAAATGTTCCCATCATCTTTTCCTCTATGGAAGTTGATCAGCTCCTGCATTCACCTGGTCTTTATATGTCAGCTATGCATTTTTACTTAACCTAAACAAGCAGCAAAGTAGAATTTTGAGTCCTTTTCATAGATTTCTCACAGATGAGACATATCTTTCATGATAACCAAGATGGATTAAGAAGAAAATAGGCTCAGATTTTGGATATAGGTATCACCAATGTATAGAGCACAGATAAGAAAATGTTACAGTGAGAGCCCAAGTAGCAACTGAAGAAATCTGGTGCTTGGATTTACAGACCACTGCAAGGTTTACAGTGAACAAAACAACAGATTTAGTTGCTTTGGGATTGTGCTCAGGATGGGCCAGGCCAAAGAGATCAATTTCTACTTGCAGGATAAAATGAAACCTTAATAAGATTTCAGGAAGAGGGTCCTAGTGGTAACCTAATCAGCTGTTCTGTGTTAGACATGGGAACATTTCAGAACTGTTTCTGAACATTTCCACTGTTTAATGGAAATTTAAGCTAGTTTATAAGCATTCTTGACAGCCAGATACGCACCACAGTTTTATAGATGCAATTCTCAGGTATCCTTTAGGTACCAGGGGCACAAAGTCTCTGACTTATCTATAATCCTCCAGGGATTAATTCTCATTTTCAGCAGTTCTCTAAGCCTCTCTGATTCTGCTGTTCTTTCCAGAACACATTTTTTGTTCAAGGTGTCAGGATAATGACAATGGAAAAATTACAAGCTACAATTACATATGAACAGAGCAAGCACTTTTGAGTTCCTCTATGGCACACATTTTTAGTCATGTAAAAGGAGTAACAGTTTTTTAAAATGTAGATGCTTATCTCATACTATGTACTATGTATGAGATAAGGAAGTAAAAGGAATTACTATCTTTAGCCAATTAAATTTAAAATCATTTACATAAGTGATTCTAATCATTTTTAATAGGCACATATATTTATAAAAGAATTAAATATTTTAATATTCATCAAAACCATGGATGCCAGAGATTATTTTAGAAGAGGCTTTCTCGAACTGAGGTAGGAAAAGAATCATGTTTAAGGTATTGTATAATAGTGCAATGAGGACATTGTGGAAAAGTATGTGTATGCTAAAGAATGGCTTTCACATGATTTTGTAGATGTTTCGTGAAAATCCATGCAGTTACTTAATTTAAACTATTTTGTTAGCCAGGGGTAGTAAGTCTAAGAATAAATCTACCTAGCTCCTTAAAAAACCCAGGAAGAAGTCATATTCTTTCAAAGAATCATCAACAAAATCCTTTTCTGTAGGATCCACATCCCTAATAGTTAAGGTACTTTTATCCCTAGTGCCTTCCATTTCAGCAGTATAACTTGCTTGGGTGTAGAGATTTTCAGCAGGTAGAAGCACATTCTTGCACTGAATAGCTCTTATCAATTCTCCTCCCCAATTAAGTCTGCTGGCCTTATCATACACCATTCTAAAGACATCTTTAACCCTTAAGAGACATGTTTGGGAGATGAGTGGAACTGTGGTAGGAGAGAGGAGAGGCATCAGAAGAGCTTTGTTGCACGAACAGACTTCTGTTCTTTTGTGTAGAGATTCTACTGGCTCTGTTTATCCAAAATGTTTCCTCTTCAAGGAAGCACTTGCCCATTTTATTACTTCTAAATCATGTTATTTATCATGTTATTTATCATTTGTTTAGCATCAACAGAGTGGATGGGTTTTAAGTTTCAGACTGGAGAAAAACCCTTATGTAA